CCCGGGGCCTGGCACCTCTTGGTGCAGGGCACAGCCCTGCCTGTAGCTCCTGGCCTTGCAGCCTTCTTTTCCCCAGGTGGCAAAAACAGCCTCAGAACAAGGAGGGTGGGTGCCCTGCCACCTGTGGAACCCAGAGTGGCAGGGTACCCCAAATCTGCCTGCTTTCATCGTCCTGAGGCTGAGCCTTTGTTCTAAGCCTCATGTGACAGACCGAGAGCCTAGCAAGGCTGTGCTGTCCCCGGGAAAGGGCTGTGTGTTCAGCCCTGGGGCCATGTGTGTGCCAGTCCTGTCTAAGTGATCTCTTTCGAAGATTCAGGAGGGAGAGGGGCCAGCCCCGAAGGCATGGGAGGCATCGCCTGGACACAGCTGTCCACAGACGGGGCCACTCAGAGTGGGCACCCGGTGCCTGGCCCCTGTGGGCAGTGCAGGCTGCATGTGGCCTGTGATGTGTTGACAGGCGAAGCCACGCGGGTGCCCTAGGCCTGTGAGCTCGCGCATGGCTCTCCGCGGTGCCCACGTTAAGCGGCCATCGTCTGGCCTCTTTCAGACACCACCTTTGCTATATGCTCCTCCCAGTGCGACTCAAATCCAGTTACTCCTTTAAAAAATGAATCCATTCAACCAGTATTTACTGAGCGCCTACTATGTGCCAGGCTCTCTGCTGGGTGCTGAGGACGTAACCGTGGAGAAGACAAACTGGCCCTTTTGTGAAGTCGGTGGCATATTTCACTTTGATGAACTAATGCTCAAAAAAGGAACTGGAAAGGTATCCGTGATTTGAAATAATTGTCTCACAATATCTGTTAGCGTACGGAGGGACGCCCCGGCCCCCGGAGTGCCGCCGACTGGCCCGAGAGCCATCGGCGGGCACCAAACCCGAATCGCTCGAGAGGCAGGCGTGGGGGGCCGCGGCCCTGCCCCTGGACACAGCCAGTTGAAAGGTGGCACCACCTAAGCAGTGTGTCCACGCCCAGGTCTCCCAAACCATAAAGTTGTAACGGTGAGTCGGAGATAAATTACTGTTGTTGAAATTAATGAACTGAGAAATTGAAGCTCACATCACTACATGAACAAATGTATTAATGTTATACATAAATTAATGAGAACAATCATTCTCAAAAATTAGACAACACTATAGTTAAAAGATTTTAAATTACATTCGTACCAGGAGTTCGTTTGAAAGTGGCAGCCACTGTTGGCATTTTAGCGCAAAGTTTTCTCTTCCAAGAGGAGGGAAAAGAGCTCCCGAAGGTGGTGCTGTGACTCCCGTCTCCTCCCAGCACTGGGCTTGGGATTCCAGAGCAGGTGGGCTGCGAGCGGCTGTGGTCTGTGAGAGCCCCTGACTCACCATTACGATGCAGAGCAATGAGCAGAAGGTCAGAGCTGAGGCGAGTCCAATTTCCACTCAGGGAGCAAGAGCCTGGCCTTAGCCGGCCTCGCAGAAGTGACCAGGCTGGGTCATGTCTCTTGACAGAGGCGGCCTCCGTTTGCTTTGAACAAAGTGCTGGTTTGTGCAGGAAGCAGCCTGTGCACACGGAAATGTCAGAGGCCTTTCCCTTTGCTGAAGGAAGCCTTCGAGGAGGGCACAGTAGGAGAGCACTCGTGTGTCCCCATACGCACCCCAGGAGGTAGATTTCCCAGCACACGCCCAAGGCTGGTAAAGGAGTATCGTGCGAATCCAACCTCATGGTGACAAAGTGCGAAGGGAGGGGCGGCCCCTGGCCGCGGTGAGGGAGAACGGGTGTGGCCGCCCCAGTAACTGCTCTGTCCTCCTCTCTTGCAGCTATGTCTGGGCTGGTAGTCCCGCCAATGTGAGGGACTTTTGTTTACCTTCCGCAGCATCCAAGGACGGACTTCAGGGGACACGTTTAGTATATTAAGACATGCTGATGGAAACAGTATCTTCAGAAAAATCAGCAGCAATCGAAATGCTACAAAAGACTTTGTTTAAAGATTTTATTTAAACTATTAAGAATCAACATGCAAACAGCCTACTTCTCCATGAACAATTCCATTTTATTGACTGAACTTTTCTCATATTTTCACATTTCTCAGTCCTGAAGAATAAGGAAAACAAAGCGACGCCTATTTTGTATAAAGTTTCTGACTCCGTCTTGGCCATGTCTAGTAATTGCTATGTGTTGGGAGAAACTTTGTGAATGCACCATTTTGATTATCATGAAACACTGATGAAAAATGCCTCCAAACATTTTTCTGTACTCATACTTAGATTCACAATGGTTGTGTATCTCTATAATGTGAAATATTTTTTTGTGGTGAAAAAAAGGGGGCCAAGGAGGTATGAGCCATCAAACTGGAAAAAAGGATGACTATATGATTAGGAGAATCTGGGGTGGCAGGGAGGGAGGGCGGGTTTATCATTGCTTAACTTCATCTTAATGAAATGAAACTTTGTAACTTATTGTAGTTAGAAATTGTAACTTTGATATTGAATTCTCTTGCCTTCAACAAGCACACTGACAGAGAAAAAAATGCTACTGTCTGTTGGTTCCAATATTCTCCCGCTGCTAGAGCTTCCTGTTAAGCAAGTGTGATCTGCAACATTTTTTCAACTTTTGCTAGCACTGTATACTATTGCATTCTTAGGCTACTGTGAGGTCTATGTTTCTTGTACCAGAAATTGTCCTTTTGACTTCTAGATCCTTCTTCCCTAATGTGTTTTGTATGTGGTTATAAAATTGTAGACTTTTGTGATTTTGCCAAAGTTGTAGCTAAATATTTATACACTTGTCTTGAATTTTTTTCAGATCCACTTAAAATATTTAGAAAAACAAGTTTTATTCCTTATGTGTCTTATAAGGGATAAAATGGTCTTCACACAACACTTACTTTCCCATGAACACTTGCGGTTGCTAAGGGATTTATTTTGTAACATATCAATTATAAATATTGTATTTATCTTTGAAATTTTGTACATTGCTTTTTCCCACCTTTTTCTTTTCCTTGTCTGTGTTGGTTTTTGATCATGGCCTGGTGTTGTGATACTGGGACGAGCATTAGCCAAGAACTGTCTCTTTGATCTGTTTCGTTCAAACGAACCAGTGTCCTTACATTTCATTTGTACTCAAAAATATGCTATTGTTTAGACTTTCCGTCCTTTTTTTTTTTTATGTTGATGAAAAGTCAAATTCATTGTTTATTTTTATATTATTTTTAAGTTATCTGAACAGATACTTTTGGAAAAAAAAAAAGTTTGTTGTATAGTCAAAACACAACGGTGCCACCCGGCTGTGACAAATCCTAGTAGATTCTGTGCATGTGGAACGGCCGAGAAGAGGTGACACCGTCTGGGGCTGTGTCTTTATTTTATTTTTTGGTAGAATGTAAAAAGTCATTTTAGCTGCCACCCATGACTTTGCCACATAGCTGAACTGTGTTTATACTGGAAAAATTCAGAGGCCTAAAGTTTAAAATAAAATTTACTTCTGATGTTTTGATTAAAATGTTTGCCACATTAACTTCTCTGATGCCTTAAAAGTGGACTTCTTTAAAGAACCTTTGTGCTATTTTATCACAGGCTTACACCACAATTGTTAATCAATATTTCATTTGGAGATTTATGGTGTAAAAAACACGCACACACACAAATAAAAGCACAAACCCACCGTTCCATACGTCGCTCCCTTCTGGGTGTGTTTCTGCTGCACTCTGCACCCTCCCGGCACCCCTCCGATTCGGAGAGATTTCACAGGGAACCAACATCACTGCTGGTTTTTAATTTTTTTTTTAACAATACGTTTTTGTGGTCAGATCCAACAGCACTGTCTGTACTTTTTAAACTGGAATGACCTCCTCCAGATAGTGTACCAGTTTGTGCCAAACCCACAGTGAGACCAACAGGGTCAGGTTTTTTTTTTTTTTTTCCCCTTTGCACTAAATGTTTTGCAGACATAGCACAGCAAACATTTTGCAAACTGCAGCAGAAATCAAATTTAAAATGAAAAGGAGGGACTTTAAAAAACTTTCTTGACAAAAATGAACAACAATGCATAACTTAGAAAGTGTTCGTTCAAGGGACTAATTAAACAGAACGTCCCCCATGGTCAGTGCGTCCCAGTCTGGCTTTGTGACGGCTGATGGGGCTTAGCTACGTGGAAAAGCCTGAGAAGTCACTTTGGAACTAAATTGCCTCCGTTTTATTTTGTACGAGTAAGGGTTTGATCTAAGAAAGAGCTCACATGTACGTGTCAACGTTCGCAAGCTTCCTCCTACCCTGGCTTGGTTTGTGTTTAGAGGAAATAGTCGACACCCTCATCGCTTCATTGTTTCAAGATCGAGCCGCTTCACTAAATGGTAGATTTTACTGTTAAAGACCCTACAATAAGATTGTTTTATCTGTACATTTTTTCAGATATTTAACTGTATAAAATGTTCATTTTACACAATATTTAATTAAAGTATTTCTTGTCTGTGAATTTCACTTTTGGTAATTCTGTTTTGATTATTAAAATGACTGGCTAAACACACCCGGAAATTACACTGGGGGTTTCATTTGCACATCCTGGGTTTCGAAGCTGTGTCTTGGGCGAAACGAAAACGATCTACAGGAGAACCTTATTTTTTGGTAGAATGTAAAAAGTCATTTTAGCTGCCACCCATGACTTTGAACTGTGTTTATACTGGAAAAATTCAGAGGCCTAAAGTTTAAAATAAAGGTATCAGCCCTCGGTCATAGCACCTGCAGAGAGAAACTTGGCAAGTCACTACTTACATGGTTCTGACCCCGTAGGCACCATCTATACCTGTGCTCTGTATGTTTCTGTGTCACAGACATTCTGGGGGCCACAGCCACACTGAGGTGGCACAATCCCTGTTCAAGGCCTGGTGTCTGAGTATGCAAACAATCCCAAGGCTTGAGGGAGCTTTGTGACCCTGCTTCCCCGAGACCTTCCTGCGCCAGCCCCCCGGCTTCTGAACTGGAGGGTCTGGCAGGTCCGGCCGCCTCCAACACACACCTTTTGCGTCCACTGTTGTGTCCCCTGGGCGAGAACCAGCTTCGGGAACGTGCGCCGGCAAAGGCTCCGGGTGGGTGGGCAGACACGGGGCACCCAGACCAGTGCTGGCTGAGGTCGGACATGAGGGACACCATTCCACATCCACCTCAGTGGCCAGACCCCGTGCCCTGCCCCCGGCCACTGTCGTCTGTGCCTAGGTGTAGCCAATTGCACTGACCGTAACGAGCCCCGCTGTCAACACTGGGGCTCCAACTTAGAGGCCGTTCGGCCCCTGTGAGGTCCCACGCTCCCGTCCCACCTCACCCGGTGCTTTTCATTTTCTCCTCAGTGAAAGGCTGGGTCTGCATGTTTTGGCTTGCAGCTCTCTAGCACATACGCGTACGTGTGATCCAAATTAGTACTCACAAATGTCATCTTAATTACTTGTTCTGCTGAGCAAAACAGGAAACAATTACTCAAAACATAAAGAAACTTGTGAATACCTTTTCCTCCTGTCAGTGACAATCGGTTCCTTATTTCGGCCTTAAAGAGACAGCACAAAGACTCGTGGGTGCAAACCTGCAGCCCGCCCGGCCCCTCCCAAGTTGCCGGAGGCTGGGGCTGGAGAGGGTGTCGCACGACAAGTCACCTCCTTCCCACTCGGAACTGGTGCCAGGAATGCGGGCTCCCGGGAACCTGGGAACAGAGACACGGTGTCACGTTTGCGGTTCCAATCGGAAGCAAGGGCTGCGTGCTTCCAGAATGTGCGCCGCTTACTGTCAGGCCGCCTTTTAAGGTCTTTCAAGCTTTTAAAGATTATTCAAAGCACTTGAAATGGGCTTCAATCTAATGCCTCATTTCATTGCATTAAACAGCCTAGTTAATAAAGAATCAATATATTCAAAGGGCAAGGTTATCTTTTGTCTATAAGGGGTGGTGTCATTCTGAACCTTTTATAGTTCAAATGCTGAAAAAGACCTCATGAAATCCATACTCATCAAGTGGGCCGGCGCGGGCAGCGGGCGGCCCTGCACGGAAAGAAAGGCTGCCCTCCTTTAAAACAACGCCAGGCCTTATCTCCCGGGCTCGGAGCGCCCACAGAAGTCCTCAGAAATGTCAATTTCTCATCAAGACAAGAGGCCACAATGATCATTTTTCCAGAGAATACATACAATTAAGAGAATGCAGAGGCGGCGCGGCGGTGATTTGTGGCTCACTCCGGCCCCGTGAGCCGCGATCTCCCTCCCGGCAGATGAAAAGGGTTGTTGATAACTGAAGTGTCAATACGCCAAAGAGGGATTTTTGAATGTGAGTCCTTGTGCTTTGAGCGCGCCGGGCCGATCCCAGCCCCTGATAACGGCGCAGCTGCCAACGGACACCACAGGTTGGCCCTCCCAATTAATGCCGTGAATAAATCACACAAAAGAGTTGGGATGCTTTATACTCGGTGAGACAATCCCCCGTTTTACCCTTCAAGGATTCCTTTTATGTTGGAATAAGGTTGCTTTTAATGAAATTTAAACTCATCAGAGGAAATCAAAAACCTCCAATCAGATTACAAATTGATTTTTTGGTCATTTGTCATGTCCCAATGTAGAGCCGCAGGTTCCACAGGGAGCGCGTTGCCGTTCCGGGGCTGGGGAGACAGCGTGGACGCGGCCCCCACCGCACTCCCGGCCGAGACCAGCCGCCTGAGCCCCCACGACAAGAGCAGGTGCCCATCGGCTCTGAGTCCAGCCACAGCTTAAAACCCGGGACCTCGTCCTTGGCAAAGCCCACAGTGGTTCCAGGCCTGCTCTCGCGGGTCCGTGACGGCCCACAGAGCGCATTCTCCAAGGAGCACAGCCCATTTGGTGCGTCTCACACGGTTTGCTGGGTCTGCTGTGCCGCACCAGGGCCAGCGGCTACGCAGGACCTAGAGCCCCACAGGCACCTGGTCCCCACACGCCAAGACGTTATGATCTGGGCAGAGAGAAAACCTCCCGGTCCCACAACTCAGCCATCCAGTCTCAGCCCCGACATTCCCCTCCGCAGAGCCTGCCCTGGCCCCTGGCCGCTGCAGGGTGGGGACCTCGTGCTCCCCCCGCAAGTCTTCCTAGGGGGCCGTCTGAGGCCACCAGCCTCCAGCTTTCCCACTGGCCTCCTGAGACCCTGGAGAGACCTGAGCTTCTCGAAGAGACACGTGGCGGTGCCTTCCTCACCTTCTCCCCTCTGTATCGGGGGCACCGGGTCACGGCTGAGTGCCCCAGAGGAGGAAGCAAAGGTCCCGCCCAGTGCCTGGGACCGTGGGAGTCGAGAAGGGCATCATGTCCCTCGGGCGAGACTGGGGCCAGGGACAAGACGAGGGTAGGCACTGCTTCAGGAGCAAACGGATGTGATTTCTGATTCAAGATTCCCCAGAGACCATCTCTTACGACATACTCTCTAAAGTGAGTAGAATAGTCTACACATTTCAAACAGCAAACACCCACCTCGCAGCCCCTGGTGGTCTACGGAGCTTCTCCACGGCGTCTTCTTTGGGCCTCTCGCGGAGCTCTGCGCCGGGGCCACTCCCAGGTGGTGAAGCTGCCATCCAGGGAGGTCAGATGACAGCCCACGGACACGAGGATGGAAAGGCCAGACGCCAGGTGAAGTCTCCAATCTCCAAACCCCGTGCTCTTTCCATTGATTCAGGTTTCAGATATCTTCAGGAAATGAGAGAGAGAGAGAGAGACACACACACACACACCACATGGGTACAAGCGAGGAGAAATCGCACTTCCCTGGGAACATCCCGACCAAGCTGCCCAACTCTGCCAAGGCTGCTGGCTGGGCTGTAGATGGGAACTGGCTTGTCCAGGGGCGGTCAGCTGGGGTTCAGGAGGCCTCGCTGCAGGACCCACCCAATGCCACACATCCATGCTCCCAACACCGGGGACAGAGGATCATTTCTCCCAGGGCCTGTGCGACCACCAGGAGTCCCCTGTAGAGGCGCTTCCTCGCGCTTCCCATGGGCTTCCTCGTGTCAACATGCGGTCCACACACTGGGCGGTAGGAGGGGACCACAATGCCTGTGGGCACAGGTGCCTCTCAAGTCCACGCAGCACCTCCAGTGTTGGCAGGGACAACGGGCGGGCACACTGAGCTGGTCGCATGGTGCAGGGCTGGGAGGGTAGTACCAGCTCCGGCCACTGAGGCGGCGTGGGGGCTGGGCTGCAAGGGCTTAGCCCCTTGGTGGGTACCCACAGGGCTCAGTGAAAGTCAGCTTCTGTTCCTGCTGGCAAGGGGACGGTGGGCAGCAGGATGGGACAAAGAGGAGGAAAATAAAAGTGATTGATAATGACTTTGGTGGCAGACTCAGAATGAGTAACAACAAAGTTAGAGGCATTGGCCGAACAAGAAACGAAGGGTCAGAAATGAACATGGGTGTCTCCCGCCAAGCTGCCCTAGTTGACCACGTTCTCTGCCAGCTCCGCGCTGATGGCGGGCTGTGGCTCGTGAGCTAAGGCCGAACCTGAGAGTCATGTTTCCGCCTAGAAGGCACCGAATTCTGCACTGCACAGTGCTACCACGGTGGGGCTGGCACAACTCAGGGCCAGTGTGGGGACGGAGCCGCCAGTAGAGAGAGAAGAGAGAGCTGCACCCACAAAGGGTTTACATTCTTAACATACAATAAGTTTTGCAAATCGGTAAGACTTGACGAACACCCTAAGGAGAAAACAGGCAAATTTATAGTCAATTCATGAGGGAACAATAGAAATGATCAATAAGCTTAGCAAATTATATTCCACCTCCCTTAAAAATGCATGCCAAATTAAAATAAGGAGATGATTTTTTTTCCTATTAAATTTGAAAAGATTTTTCTTAAAAGCTAATCCTCATAGCTGTTGATGGAGGAGCGGGCATCCTTACAGTTGTTGGTAGAAGAGCAGACTGGGACAGCCCTTGGAAATTTGGAAATCAACTTGACGTCATATCCAGAGACTTAAAAATGTTCATATCCTTTGACCCACTAATCCTACTTCTAGGAATCAATCTCGAGGAAATAATCAGAAATTAGAGAAGGCTTTTAAGTACATGATTGGCCGTTATGGTAATATTTATTAACAAATTGGAAAGAACCCAAATGGCTAAAAATAGGAATTGGTCATTAAATTATGATACAGCCACATAATGGAATATTGTCTATCCTATTAAGCCATAGAGATTATGTTTTCAAGTATAAAAAAATGGTAAACATCAAATGAGATAAAATTGAGTGAAGCAGCATATAATACTGTATGCATAACATAATTCCAATTTGTAAATTTCTGTGAAGAGAGAAGGCAAGAAAGAATATATGATATACATAGACACAGATGTGTGGGGGAAATACTAGTCCGAGTAACAGCCAAATTAACAGGTGGTTCATCAGGGGGGTGAAAGGTTACACATTACATCCATATTTTCCAAGTTTTCTGCAAAGAGACGGGCAGGGTCAGGTCTGGGAGAACACTGTGCCCGTGCT